GCGGTTATCTATTATCTACTTCTGATATAGGTGCATCTATACGGCCGCTGACGAAACGCAACAGGAAACATTCTAACCTATTTCGCGATTTCAATACACATCACATCATATTTTCATCATACGAATCAGTAACTTAGATCTTTGCATCGATATAGAATAATATTATACTATATATCAATATCGGATACCAGATGACTTTGGTGTTTGGGATTTCGTGATGACTCAGCTAGCAACTCCTATATAGGCCCTCATGACGGCGCCTCGGCCGTTAGCTTAACAGCTGTTTGTATTTCCCGTCATTATGTTGGTGCAGTGGCAGGTGACGATCGGAACAAGACCGCTGTGTTACTCGCTACTGGACCCGCGCACACTGTGTGCGTACGTGCTAGACTGACAGCTCGAGCTGTCATTACGGCCTCGGAGACGGATGTGCCCCATTAGCGTGGGCTGCTGCTGGAAATACCGCATGCCAGAGATGCTGTCAATACTCAGAGGCCTCTCGAGCTCTCATATTCGATCTCCAGGTCCTCTTTAGCGGTTATTTTTCCGTTCTCGCGTTCTCATTCCCCTCTATACCTTCTGTTCTTAATTTTTCTCCTTTTACCATTCTTTATCACACCCACTATTTCTCGTCTCTCTCTCTCTCTCTCTCTCTCTCTCTCTCTCTCTCTCTCTCTGTGTTCGTGTGTGTGCGCGCGTGTGTGTGTATGTGTGTGTGTGTGTGTGTGTGTGTGTGTGTGCGAGTGCGCGCGCACGCGCGTGTGTGTGCGTGCGTGAGTGTATGTGTGTATGTGTGTGTGCGTGTGCGCGCGCGTGCGTGTGCGTGCGTGCGTGTGTGTGTGTCTGGGTGCGCGCGCGCGTCCGTATGCGCCCGCGCGCGTGTGTGTGTGTGCGCGTGTGTGAGCAAATCGTTTTGGTATTGTTCTGCCCCTAGCTTCCCCACACAGAGCCTCATACAGCCGACGACCGCACGTATTAACGCCGACCTCTTACTCTCTGTCTACAGTTCACGGCGCACGACTCCAGCAGCGCTAGTCCCGACGGACGCGCGGACATGCAGCGTCACGACGCAAGCTACACGACGCAGCGAACACACAGCGTCGCAGAGAGACGCTAGACGTCGTCATCGACGCTGACACGTCGTAGATGACGCAGCGAACACACCGCGTCGCAGAGAGACGCTGGACGTCATAGCTGACGCAGCACCGCCGACGCACGATGTACAAGCTCAGCACGACGCTGCTACTCGTCTGCTACTACGCGCAGGTGGCGCTGCAGTTGTACACGGGGCAGCTCTACTTCCGGCACGACTACCACCACGTCTGGTTTCCGGTGCTGGCCGCCATGGTCGCCGCACCGCTCATCCTCGCCAACATAGTCTCCGTCGTCTGGGTTTACCACAACATGGAGTTCGCCGAGCGTCGCTGCGGCGAGCTGACGTGTAACTTCTTTCACCTGGTGCTGCTCGGTCCGGCCTGGCGAAGCTTCAAGCTGCTGCTCGCCGAAGACACGCAGGACTACCGCGAGTACGTCACGCTGCAACTGATGCTGGGCGTCACTCAGAGCTTCTCCGTTGCCACGGCAACCGCGGCGCTCATGTACGCGAGCGTCAATTTCGCGCCGATCCTCGTGGCGACCTCTGCCGGAAGCCTTCTCGGCGCGTGCGTCGCCTGCGCCGCCTACATGTCGTTTAAATCGGAGCGGCGCTCGCGGCTCCCCCTAGCGAGCACCGCGTTGCTGTTCGCATGGAAGCTATGTGCGTTGGCGACGCGTGCGTTATCGCTAGCTCTGTTCTCGTACGCCGTCCCCCACTGGACAGCAGTGGTCGTCGGTGCGCACTGGCTCGTCATGTTCACCTGGAAGAAGGTCGAGCGCATGTTCCTGCGGCGACGCTGCCGCTGCGCCGACTGCGACGCGCACTGGCGCGACACGCTCACTGCCTGCCTCAACGTTGTCGACTGGCTACGCCTGGACACGCACCCGGTGAAGCTGGCGGGCTTCTATACGTTCATGCTGCTAGAGAACGCTCTGCTGCTCACCGTCTGGGTGCACCTGAACCCGGAGCCGTGGCTGACGACGCCGACGCTTGTCGCCGCCAGCGCCACCTACGTCCTCGGCGTCGCCTTCATGGTCAGCTACTACCGGCTGTCGTCGGCGGCGGAGTTCGACGACACGAAGGATTGCGATAAGAGTGAAGGTGATTCCCCAGCGGCAGCGGGAGGAGTGTACGGTACAGCAGAGTACGGACACGTACGTCGGCCCGCGTTGAAGAAGAAGCGAAAGATTCGCCGCTGTGGCGCTCCGTTCGGCCCCGCCGACACGATCCACGAGCACGCGCCGTTCCGCGTCGTCGCGCGCGGCTACCAGATCCCGAATCCCGAGTACGGGTTCCATCCGGTGACGAACGCCATCTCGCCCGTCTCGCTCAACTCGGACAGTTCCGGATCGAGTTCGAACACGGAGAGCACGACGAACACGGTCATCGAGGTGGCGCGTAACCATGGCGACGGCGACGCGGCCGTCGTCACGGACAACCGCAGCCCGGGCAACGCCGACGCCGAGGAGCCGCGGTCGTCCGGCATCGAGATCTGGCGCATGATCACTAAAAACCTTGACATTCTCGTGCCTGGGCGCAAGGACTCGACCGAGTCTGCGCGGATGGTCAGCTGCTCGGCCAGTCACGTGCACCGCGCCTCGGAGCTGGCTGCCGTGGACAAGATAGAGACCATATCGGAGGCGGTGGCGCGCCAGGAGCAGATGGGAAACAAGAAGAATAACGGAGGAGGAGGAGGAAGAGGAGGAGGAGGAACGAATGAAGCAGCAGCAGCAGCGGCGGAGATAAGAGACGCACCAAAATCGAACGTCGCAGATGCCGAGTGCGTCGAAAGCATGGACGTCGAACTCCCTCCGAAGTCCGTCGACGACGACGGCTCTCGCCAGGTGGCGCGCGACTCGCAACACGAGCGCGACGACGTCATCATTCACACGGAGTTTCTCGCGAGAGAGGACGAGAGCCGCGTGAACATTCCGATGCGTACGTTTTCGGAGAGGGTCGGGGAAGCCGACGAAGCCGACGCTCGACCTAAGACGGGCATGATGAAACACGTGCGGAAGCATCCGCCGAAGAATAAGGAGGTGCACCGAGGCGTCAGCCTCACGCCAGTCGTCAAGCCGCGACGCCCGCCGAGAGGAAAGCGAGCGAAAGGAAGCCGCCGCGAGAGAAGCTCTTCCGACGCTCAAGGGGAGACGGTCTTCGTTGACATCGTCGCTGAGAGCGAAAAAAAACGCCAGCAGGTTGCCGACGGGACGGAAGCATTCGCTCTGCCGTCGGCAGCGCTAGACAACCCTGACCTCGGTGACCTGGCGACGCTCACATACGACGTCGGCAAAGAGAACGACGACGACGACGACGACGACGAAGACGACGACAGCGAAATCGACTACGCGCGTTGCCTAGCGACGATCGGCAACACGAACTTCCCGTCGAAGTTCTCGGATTCGTCAGGCGACAGCAGCTGCAACGAGTCACCCGGACCTTCGCGAGAAAACAGCATCAAACTACAGAAGACGACCGTCAACGACACGCTGAACAAGGTGACGATGGCTCTCGCGCAGAAGAAGCTGAAGGAGGACGGCACGATGGAGGCAGCGCACCCTGGCGGCGGGCAGCAGTGCGACAGCTCGCCGCTGCCGGCAACGCCACCTCGTGCGAGACTCGACAGCGGCAGCAGCATCGAGAATGATCTGTCGGGTCGGTCGACAGACGTCGGCAGCGCCGACGCGTCGCCGCTGAGCGCGACGAAACGCGTGCGAAAGATGCTGACGTTCACGCCGACGAGGAAGAGGACGCCGCGTCGGTCGCCGTCGGCAGCCGACGGACGCAAGACGAAGCAGAGGATCTTTAAGCTGAAAACGACGAAGCGATCTCTGGCGCTGTCGGCGCGAGACATCGTCACCGACAGTCCGTCGTCGGCCGCCGACGCGACGACGTCGCCGCCGACGCTAGCGATCACGTGCGACGACGTGCGGTCGCCGGACACGACCGCCGACGCGTTCTCCGACGTCGTCAACAACAAGCGAGGAGGAGCCGCGGTCGCCAACAACATCGCAGCAGCGGCCTCTATCAAATCGCACGTCGCCAACTGCGACCATCTGTCAAACGAGGAGAGGATCTCTCGTGATGCGCCGACGACGGAGACGTCGCTGGGTCCCGGAACTGTAGCCCGGATGCGGGAGACCGGCAAGCAGCTAAATAAGCAGCTGTCTGACCTTGCGAGAGAGACAGCGAGAGACACAGCCTCACAGCCTCCGAGATCCGTGGTACAGCTGCAGTACGACCGTGTCGCCCCGGCAGGCCTCATCCTCAATCCCGCACACAGCGACATCAGCGCTCCCAAGTCCACACATAGCGACTACAGTGCCCCCAAGTACACACATAGCGACTACAGCGCCCCCAAGTCCGCACATAGCGACGACAGCGCCCTCAAGCCTGCATACAACGACGACAGCGCCCCCGACGGAGTTCCGAAAAAGTGCAGCGCGGCTGATATGGCGCGACAGGTGATTCTGGCGATCGCTGATACTGCTCCCCATCCTCCTCATCCTTCTCATCCTCCTCCTCATCCTCCTCTTCCTCATCATCCTCCCCAGCCTCCGCAGCAGCAGCAGAAGACGCAGAAGTCGGTGAGTGCCTCGCATATCGCCTGTGAGAATAACAACGCACGTAACGCCGCGCCGCTGAGAGAGCGCAAAGCAACCAGCTGGACGCAAGGCGTGCCCCACAACAACCACCACCATCAGCAGCAGCAGCAGCAGCAGCAACACCACCACCACCAGCAGCAGCAGCAGCAGCCGCAGCACAACCACCACCAGCAGCAGCAGCACCACCACCAACACGACCACCAGCAGCAGCAGCACCACCACCAGCAGCAGCAGCAGCAGCAGCAGCAGCCGCAGCAGCAGCAGCAGCAGCACCAGCAGCAGCAGCACCACCAGCAGCAGCAGCAGCAGCAGCAGCCACAGCAGCAGCAGCAGCAGCAGCAGACAGACGCAGGCTTCACTCAGCAGCAGTGGGATGCTGGGTCCAACCTGCTCTCTATGAGAGACACGCACGCGGGATCCTCCGGTATCAGCACTCTAGCAAGCAGCAGCAGCGGCTCGAACGAGTCCGTGCCGGACAGCAATCCCGCGCCCGTGACGTCAGTGATGACGCGACACAACCTCGACGATCCCGCGCCCGTGACGTCAGTGATGACGCGACACAATCTCGTCAAGAGTCAGCGCAAGATCGAGAAGATCAATCGGTCGGCACAGGACGTCGTCGACGACATCATGTCGTCGTACGGCAAGGACGCAGAGGAGGCGGAAAGCGCCGCCGAGTCCTTCATCAGCGGGGTGGCGCCACTGACGAAATCGACGTCGTCGCTCGCCACTAGGCGGCGCTGCGGATCGGCGAACCGATCCGGTTCGGATACGACGTCGGCGTGGTCCGATTCGGACGCCGTCGGCAGTCTTCGGGTCCGCGCGCTGGAAGATGGCGTCGCCACCTACGATGGTTACGACTCGCTGGAGGAACTCGATGATTCGCTGAGCGAGAGCGAGAGTCAGCCGACGTGGCCGCCAGAGGGCGCTGTGAACCGTGCTGTACTATCGGCGCTGCCGACGGCGGTGGCTGGCGCGGAGAACGGGAACACGCGGATAGGAAACAACACCAGAGGAGAAGGAGAGCGAGGAGGAGGTGGAAGAGGAGGGGGAGGAGGAGGAGGAGGAGGAGGCGGCGTGATCCTCGCTTCCACAAGGGAACAGATCCGCAACGAGAGAGAAAGTTTCATTTAGAATCTTCCTCTCCGTCGAAGGCGAAGGAAGCATTCGCATCTTTAGATTATGGAACAAAATACAACAAGCCTAAGAAATGTGTATTTCGTTGTAATTTCCTAAACAGATGTTCACTCAAAAGCAATCAGGTTGTTCACGATAGCTTATGGCCCTGCCATAGCTTATGAACTCGGTTTCATTGGTCACGTTTAAATTAGGCTGACAAAATGATTTAATATAAGATATAACTTAAATATAATCAAGTATCAAGTATCACGTATTCAAGTAATAATCTAACTGAATGCCATAGGTGTGTATCAATGTGTTGTTCGTCTTTATTCCATGTCTATACCATTGAAGTTTCAATTTTCTCATATCTCATTTTACATGTCTGTGTATATATATAGGCTTTTTATTTCTATCTATGGATAAATCTCTAGCAATTAGAATAACTGTACGCAGTGTGTCTGTCAAGCGTTGTATATTCATTATTGTTGAGATGAGATGTGTTTATATCTGAGATTGTTTGCTTCTGTTGTGTCTCGCTTGTTTTGTACACACATAGTCATCCTTATTCAGCGTGTGCATGTAGAGGAAATTAGATTAAAATAAAATTAATATATCTATATGTATAATGTAAATGTTTGCAGTATAATAAACCTTGTAAAGATATATAATTCGCAAACATCTGTTTGTTCATTCATTTTTTAAGTTTTCTATTGTAGTGAAACTGGATAAATTCCTCGCCGCAGTTTCAATATTATACCTATGAAATTATTTGTGTTTCTCGCTGGAATTTTGGTCAAAGAACCCTTAGTTTTCGTCTTTGCTTACTGGAGTCTCTATGTAGGCCTGGTATGGCATGTTGAAACTCTTCGACAGAAATGATGCGAAATAACCAAATTATTGGCAATTAACACAATAAAATGACATGCAACGTCCTCTTTCATACAAGATTTTGATAAAACACATGGAGAAGACCTGAGGATTTGCGACCCCTTGCTTGGAGGTACAGACGAACGTACCCCCAGAAAATTCATGAATTGATAAACATTTGCATGAATATTCGATGTGATTTTCTACAAACAAAAAATACAACGAGATTGAAACGAGTTGCATGCCACGATCAAAATTCGCTTTTTATTCATCAATGTAAAACTCTGGATGAAAACAATTCAAGCGCACGCATAATAATACTCGAAAAGCTCCCACTTATCATCATAGCAGGTATTTCCCTTCCGTCACGGCCGTCAGATATCAGCGATTAATTAATTCCTAGACTTATGAAGTACACGTCAATCCCTCCTTCCTGCACTCCACGTAAGAAGCTAGTTGTAAGTAAGCAGTCACGACACCACGCAAACAAAGGCGCGCACACACACAATTTATATTGAACCCATAACACGAACTATCTAAATAATTAATTAATTAACTAAATAAATAAATAAATAAATAAATACATATATATATATATTATGTGTGCGTGAGTGTATATATGGATATATTATATATATATATATATACTATATATATATATACTATATAATATATATATTATAATGCAGATTGGCACTCCCGCCCCGTCTGTAATCAGCGTGGTCATATAACTGTTATCATGCATGCTTGCACAGACTGTGCCTCGCGCCATTCTGTAACAGCACACACCTCTTCATTCGCACACCTGCCGTTCCTACGCTCACACACTCACTGTACACTCACCTCACTAAACCGGGCATAGGCGCGCGGAAAAGGCGGGATAAAATAGAAATATAAGTAAAATAAAAATGAACATAAGAAGATAAAGAAGAAGAAGAAAATAATAAATAAAAAATAACACGCCCGGTGATAAAATAAAAAATAGATGAAATGCAATAACACCTGCGCTCACCCCAATCTAATCCGCGTACATCAACGAATACACGCGTGCACTGGTCGTTTCTGCTCGCCTTGAGCTCGATTTGGACCAGATGCGCAGAGCAGATAAAGACCACATGTATTGGATTCACTCAATTTGAACCGTCGCGCGTGCGTGCAATGTGCTCTCAGCTTGTGGGGTCAAGAAACGAACCGAAAAGTAGAAGGGAGTATTCGGAGTGGAGATTGAGGAAATGCGTGTGAGAGAGTGGGAGAGAGTAAGCGAGAGAGAGAGAGAGCGCGCGCGCGAGCGAGCGAGAAAGAAAGAGAAAAGAAGAATGAGAGGAGAAGAGACCGAGAGAGAGAGAGGAGAGAGTAGAAAAGAGATGAGAAAGACGATACGAGAAAGAAGGGGAGAGAGAGCAAGAGAGAAAGAAAGTAGAGAGAAGGAGAGAGAAGAGAAGACGAGGAAAGATTTTACAACATCCTCGACAGAGAAAGAGGATGAGGAGAAGAGATCCAGAGAGAGAGGAAGAAAGAGGAAAGGAGGTTAGAGATAGATAGGTAAGAGAGCAAAGAGGAGAGTAGGTGAAGAGACAAGGGCAGAGAATGAGGGGCTGGAGGAAGGAGGACCAGCGAGCAAGAAGAAGATGAGTAAGTGGTGGCAGTGGACTGCATTCGTCACTCTCTCCCCCTTTCTCTTTCTCGCGCTTATTCTCCCCGTGTATATCTCTCCCTGTGTCTATGTCTCCCCCTCGCTCTCCCCCTCGCTCCCCCTCCCTCCCTGTCACTATTTCTGCCTATATGGATCTGTGTCATATATCTGTTAGACGCATATTGCGTCGTTCACTGCTGCTGGACGGAGTATAGATGAAAATTCCCAAGCTAACGCTTCAACTTCCACCAAGTTCAACGCTAAAACATTGAAAAGCTCGCGAGCTATCTCACCGGATAGGTTCTCTCCGCCTTCTTGTCAGCTAACGCACGCTCAGGGGTTCTCCTTGCCTTCCCGCTCGCACGCTCAGAGGTTCTTCCAGTCTTCTAGTTCATCTATAAGGGGCTTCGTGCGGAACTGCATACCATCCCCCGGCAGTCTCGAACGGACGCTCGGCCATACCCACGTCAGATACCAGCGCTCCCCGAGTAACTGCCGCACGTTGTCCGCTGCCGACGTTCCCTCGTACATCGTCACGCCGTGCCGACGTTCGTACGCCGTCTGTCCGCTGCGCACGAGCGCCACCTGGTAGAAGAACAGGTAGGTGGTGAGGAAGACGAGAACGCAGGCCATCGCCTGTAGCGACATCAGTGTGAACGTGTACAGGTCGAGGTGGCCGACGACGACGGCGATGTGCGGAGCGACGAGCGACAGCACGTTGGCGACCGTGGCGCCACCTACCTCCTGCCAGATGTAGCTCCATGAGTAGGTTACTCCGTAGATGGCGCCTGTAAACATACACGGAGAGTGCGAGATTAGCACGAACAGTCGCATTGTAGCAGAGAGTTACAGTTGTTGTTCGTTGGATTGAATGAATGGATGGATGAATGAATGAATGAATGAATGAATGAATGAATGAATGAATGAATGAATGAATGAACGAATAAATTAATAAATGATTAAATGAATGAATAAATGAATGTCTGAATGTCTAAATGAGTGGATGAATAAATAAATGAATGAATAAATGAATGAACGAACGAACGAACGAATGAATGAATGAATGATTAAATGAATGAATGAATGAATGAATGAATGAATGAATGAATGTCTGAATGTCTAAATGAGTGGATGAATAAATGAATGAGTGAATGAATGAATGAATGAATGAATGAATGAATGAATAATTGATTAATCGATCGATCTATCGATAAATGAATCCATCCATCGCTCATCACCGATATTGGCACGAAATCGATTATGCGCGCGCGCTCACCGATCCACAGGTACATGACGGCTACGAGGTAGTAGCGGTGGTTTCTGAAGCCAACGCAGCATCCCGTGAAGACGCAGTGATGGTCTCTCCGCAGCACGCACTCTCCGCAGTGCGCGCAGTGGTAGGAGCGCGGCGGAGAGTTAAGCTGGCATTCGTGACAGTACTTCCATCCAGACTTCAGTACGGACGGCAGACCGAGGCTGCGTCCCGATGCATCCGTCGTTATCACCCAGTACATGTTCGCTGAAAGAAAATACCGGGATATTCATCTATCCACCTGCTCTGCGAACGATACGTGGTTCTAGCCAGTCATTGCCGTGGGAAGACGTTCTAGATATACGCTGCGTTCTTATAACTGTTACGTATAGATTATATTCAGACATTATTCAAAGAGACGTGGTTATCTCGCTTATATCGAGGCAAAGAGCAAGATAGTTAGAGTTTTCACATTTGTTACGGCCCGTCATAGCTGAGAATGCGGGGGAAATCGTAGTTGCTGAGGTAGATAGAGGCCAGGCTAACACCTCGAGGTAAAATATTTCGGCTTACTGACTACAGGTGGCGTAACATGTTCGTTTCTAATGAACAGGACTGCTAAGACCTTGTCGCAAATGTTTCGTGCCTTCAACGTACGTTATAGCCACAACAACAACTTGCAACCTTACTAATCGCTTACATGCGCCGTGGGAAGGAATGGTTGATTAATCTCATTAGACAATTCAATTATACAACTATTTTCACACGCACGCACGCACGCGCACAAACAACACGCGCGCACACACACACACACACACACACACACACACACACACACACACACACACACACACACACACACAAACACATACAGAACCCTCCTTACCTGCTACGTTCGCCGTGATGAACAGAGTCAATGCCACGTGAAGTCCGACGATTGGTGACGTCATCGACGAGTGATAGACGGGCAGCACAACGATGACCTCGAATCCAATCCCGAACGGAATTCCGATCAGCATGAAGATGAAGGACACCTGATCGTACCTGCGTCGTGGGAAGATGTGACCAGTTGCCATGGTGACGTGAGGAGAGGCTGAGTTTGCCGGAAAAACGGACGAGCGTTGGTTCCGCAGCGGAGATCTAATGGCAGACTCCAGCCAAAGAGCTCGTTAATAAAACGGGGAATGTATTGACGTATTGTCTGCTGACGTGCGCGCGCCTGCGTCTGGTAGCTTGGTATTGAACGCTGCGCCCATGGCAACGTTAGCTGAATAGCTGACTCACCTGCAAGCGTGACGTCACTAACGGAAAATGGTTTACTCCCGCAATCTCTTATTAGAACACTACGGTTATAATCCTGTTTGAATGTTGAAAGTTACCTTGAATATAGGGAAAAATCCTGTGATGAGTATTTAATTCTTGATTTCTGTAAATATATTATGTTGAACTGTGCATTCAAGCTGTCGAGTCTCATTGCGTGAGACAAAGAGACGGATGAATACTGCTCTGCTTTTGCCTGCAGGCTGCATCAGAGCGCCATCTGTGAGCGTAAATGTCATCATCTGTGACTATAGGTGTTGAACAACAGTAGAGGGCGTCTATAGGCTGCAGGCCTGAATAAGCATCGAACAGACAACTTAATTAAAAATACGCCACGACTGTTAATGCGCCTTACAAACAATACACTTTTATCATGCTTAAATAAACTACAGATCGTGCTCTATGCCTCCGCTCGAAATTTTGCCATGCTCTATGATGCGAAATTTTACAGAAGTAGTTTCGGTATCCCGTTTCATACACAAAAATGGCCGACCGGCGACCATGGCTACGCCACTACGCACACAACACGAATAATTTTACTTCTAATGCTTTCTAGACGCACGAGGATCTACCTTGGTGCATAATTGCAAATTATGGCATCTAGTGCCGAATTTCGGCGAAAAATATGCTAAAAAGGCCTTTTCTAGAAAATCGAAATATGTGCAACTAATGCGGTGTAACAATTGCGATGCCTTACTTGTTGCCTTATCACCTCCTATAGATTGGTTTACGTGGTATTACACATTGATAATGGATAGCAACTCCATTTCAATCTGTAACTCAAAAAGCCGGTCCAGGCCTTTATAATGAACATGGGATTACGCTCAGAAATGCATTTTTTTCGGGCGTCCTATACATTGTGCATCTTATAATTTTTTACAGTTGGTGCGTACTGATAGACATTTACATTACCAAAGCTAGTATCGGCCATATCTTCTCTATAATAAGAGTTCTATACGAGAAAACGATCATTTCGTCAGATACTGAGCATGCGACAAAACCAGAACTTTTCAGGCCTATAGCCAAAACGCCAGCAAACTAACATTTACGATAGTCACCATTCCGCTGTAGCAGGGCATCTGTTCGTGTATGCCATATCTGCCGGGGACAGCACTATGCTTATAGCCTATAATATCTGCATAGCAATTAATTATACGTGTATAATAGACAGCGGGTATATTCTCGACTTACTTCCTTCTTCTTATACGTTTTTAATGCGAGAATCTGGCCTTGCGATGGCGACGCGCGGTTCGTTCGAAATTCTATGATTACAGAATAAACAGTTTTCCGGATATCCTAGCAATTGCGGGTGGTATAATCAGGGGTCAATAATGACATACTTATTTGTTAGTAATTATTATAATGGGTTAATTTTTCATGGATCAGTTCTCGGTATCGGCCATTCAACATACGTTACCCCTCTCTCTACTTTACAACTAGAAAACTACCATTTCTATCTTTTAAGTAACTGGACATGCGCGACCTTATTTTAACCCAATCATAATTCTGCCTGCCTACACTAGACTCTTCAGGAGAGTTGTCTGTAAAGAAAATTTTATTTCGTTGCAGGTCACCCTCACCCTTTCCCGCCCAAAGATTAATGCCCCCCCATACAGAGGCTATATTGATATTATATATATTATATATTATATTATATTGCCTAATAAGGCCTGCGGATAGGTTTATGGCAGTTATTATAAAGTGCTGAATAAAACAGTTGAGTACTAATAACCTTATCTTAATTAAAACATGTGTTTAATTTATCCGTTCACTTAGTTCTCAATCATTCATCATTCGTTCAATTTTGGATGGATTGTATGAATTCAATGGATTATTTTCGTAGACAAGATCCTGCGAAACCATATTTATATATTTTGGGCATAATAAACTTTCTAATTGTTGTAATTGACTTCCGCAGTATATTATACACAGCGCGTTCACACAACTCTCTTCAAAATAACAAAAGGCCGAGATCAACAATTCTTGGCCTATATATAGCGTATGTCACTCTTGCCGTTTTTCCGTGCCGTTATTGCCACGTAAACAAGTAAATGTGCTGCGAACACTCTAGGCTGTCATTGTGAGTTGCGTAAGATTTTGCTGATGGAACCAAGGGGGAGAGGGGGAAGAGGGGGGAAATCAGGAATAAATGCGGGCGGTAAACCACTGAGGCAATCAAAAACGCCCCGTAAGAACGAAACCCACCCACGGGTCGGAGAATACAGCGTCAGTCGTGCCTTGCACAGAAGACGATAGCGGGCGCAGAGGGGAACGAGTTAAGAAGTTTTAGGGAAGGGCCAGACAGTGAGGGTGTGAGGTCTCGTATGTGTTTAAGCGGGGCGTATTGTTACTTTACTATGTGCACTGTGGTGGACACCACGTCGTTTTTCCGTGAACATGAACTTATGTAAGGAATTTCTTGGTGCTAGTCACTAGCATCTTAACAACCCCGCCCCCCCAGCGAGGTACTTGCCTCCTTCAGCAAAACATATGCTTCCCCTCCCCCCCGTCCGCAATAATTTACGCACCCTCTTTCGGTACACGCAATGGGGCCACATAGATACCCCGCCGCCCCCATTGTGCCCGCCAAACACCTCGGGTCACCAGCTGAATTGGTCAGTTGCCCTAATTATTAAGATAAGCGATAGGCCGATTGCGTAATCATCTGGCCTCTGTGTCATTCACCAGTGCGACAAAGGGTTGCAGTGGGCAGCGGCAATCAAAACACGGCAGCTTTTTCGCGCGGGTAAGGCTGAGGCCATCATTGCGGACAGTCGGGCTGCACCACTGTCCAATACCCGCTACGGCAAGCGCTAGCTCGCGTGGAGCAAAGACGGACATCATCGGTGTAAGAAAAGACGGACTATCATCGCCACTACAGGTACCGTCAATCTAGCCCTCCTTATCAGAGAGCGAGAGAGGAAGAGAGAGAGAGAGAGAGAGAGAGAGAGAGACGAGAGAGAGTGAGGAAAAGAGCAGGAGTGTGTCGGCCGGCGCGTAATGACTAGCATTTAATTATGACGCACTCAGTAATGTTGAGTACAGAGCGGCTTACGTGAACGACAACGTTACCGAGCTGGGCGTGACAAGATTACGCGCATAGCAAACAACGTGTGCTGTCTCTATCTGGCGGTCGACTGATTGCGAAGATACGTAATATATGTTCATTCGTGACATTAGTCGTGCACAGTTTATAATAAATTGTCATTAATTTTATGTCTAATTTTTCGATGATAATTTTAGCATTTCCATTTCAGTAAAGACAGCGCCATGCTAATTAACTATGTACTATTGCATATAGACGCGTGCACGCTCATTACGTTTAATAATTTTTAATTGCTTTCATGTACGGTGATTTTAATATTGCATTATAATATTAAGTCAATTAATCCTATTCTCATATATAGGAATAATTATCATTTCTCGAGTTATTCGTCTCCCTTTTGAATTCTTCTTGGCTATTTGCGTTTGTTAGTTCACAGAAACGTGCCGAGTACAGCTAAACGGTGATGAACATGAAAAATAACATAGAGCGACCACTAAAAGTTTCACGCGCGATGAAACACACGAACGCTACTTCCCCACGCACTACACACACACACACACACACCCACACACACATCAACACCACACACACACACACACACACACACAATACACACACACAGTAACACACACACCACACACCAGGCGCGCTGCACGCATCACACACTCACCACGCACGCACGCCACGCATCCACAACACACACACACACACACACATCACACACGACACCACCGTCACGCACGCACGCATCACACGACACACACACACACACACACACACACACCACCACGGCGCGCGCGCACGCATGCACACACACACATCACAACACACACGTTACACGCACACGTACCACACGTACACACACGATTACGCGCACGCACCACCACTCACCCAGCACACGCCGCACACACACACACACACACACACAACCACACACATAATACACTACACCACACACACACATATACACAACACACACACACACACACACACACAACATCACACACACACCCATACACATCGAACGCACGCCCTCACGGCACTCACAACCTACAACATCACACACACACACACACCACACAACATCACACACACACGTCTGCGCGCTTCGCGCGCGCGCACACACACACACAGGGCGCTCGCGCACGCACGCAACACTCAACCACGGCACGCACGCACACAACACACACCACACGCACGCACACACACACAAAGACGCACGCACGCACCCAACACACATCACACGCGCGCGCGCGCACGCATGCACACACACATCACACCACACACACACACATCACACAGCACACAGCCACACGTACACACACACGTACACACATCGTCACAACCACGCGCGCCCGCACGCCACACCCACTCACCCACACACGATCACACACACACACACACAGCACACACACACAACACACACACGCCTACGCACACACACACACACACACACACACACACACACACACAATACACACCACACACACACACACACACCACACCGCGCCGCAACGCCACACACACACACATAACAACACACACACACACACACACACACACACAACATACATACAAACACACACACACACACACACACACACACACATCACATTACACCATCCACAATCCCCACACACACACAACACACACACACACACACAACACACACACACACCCACACACACACACACACACCACACACACACACACACAACACACACACACACACACCACAGCACACCACACACAAATCATACGTACAAACCACACACACCACACACA